TTTTAACTATTGCCGCAAAGAAAAATAAACAATAAGAGCATTAGAAATAAAAAAGAATATATATTTATATATCCATCATATGTATATCTATATATAAACAGTTCTAACTAGTTGCAGGCAAGCAGAGATTTTCCTCTCCCGCCCCTTTAAGATTCATCCGTTCCACCGTTATAAGGCTGTCAGACTCTGGGTGGGGGCACCAGCTTTCTTTCCTCAGTCACCAGATTCCCTGAGATGTAGAGCGCCGTTTTATTTCTCGTGCTATCACTTGAGCCGACCACAGACCCCCACCCCCCCTGCAAAAAACTATAGATGTAGGGAAGGAGTGTTGCTCTGGCTCATCCCGTGGAGCTGCTGAAGGGTGTGGACGAATGGGAGGCGCGTGACCTCTCCACTCTGTGCTGCAGAGTCTCATGTTGGCAGGTGGCGGGTATCGGTGGATGAGAGACTGACCAAATAAGGAGAGGAGCTTTACTAATATTCATGTTACATCTTTGATGCTTTTCATTCATTTCCATATTGTTTTACAGTCAAATGCAAAGCAGTGTAGAGATTCAATCGTCAGTCATTCCAAGGCTTGAATAACAAGTGGTTTCTGCAAAAGAGTTCTTATGAAGACTCTGTTGTGTGTGCATTCTTGATGCATCCGAGCGTGGCGCCGTCTTCTCAGTGCCTCTGGGAGGCTAATCTCTTTAATAGCGGCTCGTCGTAGACCCAGCACTCGCCGTCCTCGTGGAATAGCTGCAGAAACACAGAGCGATGAGAATTATTAGACTCGATATCTGAAGTATTTCTGAAAGTAAAATTACAATGTTGTCACTGATCTCTCTGAGATGTGTGGAATTTAAAGTTTGCGGTATGGAGAAGGCTTCGCTTCCATTGCCACGACAGTTATGGCTGCGATATGTCAAATACACCGTTTACTTTCCTTAGTGTCCATGACGATGACACAAGCTCAGAGAGAGATGCCTCTGATGGCTATTTGGTTCCGGGAAAGTGCAGGATTCATGCACAGTATTTATGCCCAGTATTTATGCACATGATGCAACAAAACTGTTTCCACTAAACTAGTAACGACCTCGTTTCACCACTTCAGACAAAAAGCTGCTGAATATAACCAGGCTACAGAACAGGGGACACTAGCAGATAGTGACGCCTGACCCAAACACATCCGCTAACTAGCTGCACTCCACAAGTCAGGAGGATCAAACGGTGAATAGAAATTCCTGATGCCTGGTCAAAAAGCTTGACCTAATATCCGGTTGTTGCTACTTTTCCTTAAAAGTTCCACGGAAAACATAACCTGGGTGTCTTTTGTGTAATGAACTGGTTCTTCTATAATGCTTTTCTACTCTACATTAGGGCTGCCACGATTAGTCGACTAGTCACGATTACGTCGACTATCAAAATCGTCAACGACTGATTTAATAGTCGACGCCTCGTTTGAAGCTTTGTAAGATCACAAAAGACGCAGGAATAAGTAGCAGGATTTAAGAGTGTAATAACGGACTGAAACAGAAGATGGCAGCACTGCATGTAATGCCTCGTTAATGCCACACGTCAACTGTGTGATACCATCATGTCCACATGGACCAAAATCCCTCGAGGAATGCTTCCCACACCTCGGTAAATC